TTTAAGTTCTATGTAATTTATGTCTTCCGTGACGTATATGATTAAGCCGCCCCGGCACTACCTGGGTTACTTTTTGCTCGGTCAGTTCTAACTGAGTTATAGTTTGGTAGGGTAAATTTAGATCTAGCAGAGAATTTAGTTTCTTGTATGCAGACCATATGTGAACCTTTATCTAGTTTAAATTTAGCTTTTAATTCCTGGCCGTGGGAGGTTAGTCCGTCGGCGTTCCACTGGAAAATGTTTATTCCTTCCATTTGAGGGGATTGACGGTTTAAATTTGTTTTGAGTTTAGGTTTTTGTTTAATTAGATGCTTCTTTTAGGTGGTAGTTGAAAAGATTAAAAGGGAGAGTTGTTAGTTTTAGTTTATGTGCTACTGCGTGGAAGGATATAACGCAAGCATTTGGTGAGCTTTGCTTTGCTTATGTATGTAGGCTAAGAGTATGGTGAGATTATTTAGGTATTTAGTGCTGGTGAGTTGAGGACTTCGTTAATTTCTTCGGTGGTAGAGTATTCTTCTGCGTCATTGAGGTTGGGTTTTGTTATTTGCGTTTCCATAGGGGTGGCTTGTCGGGGTGTTTGTAGTGTGGAGGGATGTGTTTGTGCTTGTGAGTTGGGTGTAGTTGTGGTTTCCTTAGTGTTTGTGTTTTTTTTTTGTGCTTGCTTGTGGGGATGTGTTGTTGCCCTGGGAGCTGTACTGTGTTTGGCTGAGGGTTGTGGTTTGGTTGTCGTTTTGAGGTTTGTTTTGCATGTGGGTGTTGATGTTATGGCTATGTGTGGTATGGGGGAGTTAGTGGGTGGCAGTGTGTGGAGATGTGTGGATGCAGTGGCTGCGGTTTCTGTGTAGGGGCCCCAGACAGAATCTGGGAGTTTTGTGGTGGTGCTTGTAGGAGGGATGTTGTTTGGGTGTGGTGTGGGGAGGAGTGGCTTGGATGTAGGTGGTGCGTATTGGACTTTGGTCGAATCCATGTTGATGTGTTTGTTGGCCTGTTGTGTGAGGGTGTGTCTGTGCGGGCATTAGGTGGAGAGTGAAGTGTGTTCTATGGATCTGCAGTGGATGCACCAGGGTGTGCATGTGCCTGGGCAGTCAGTTTGGGCGCATTTTTTACATTTAGTGTTTTGGGAATGTGCATTGGGTGGCCGTGTGATTGTATTTAAGGCAGTTTGGTTGTTGCATAGTTTGAACATTGTTTGACTTGTTTGATGTAGGGTTTTACTTCCAATTTAGTGTGGGCTTCGAAAGAGATGTGTTTAGGGGCTTCTGGAAATTTAGCGGTTTTGTTTAAAGTTGATGATTACGATTGAGGTTGGGGTAGTTTTTCTGTTTCTGGTTGTGGTGATCCTGCGGGTGCTGGTTATTTGTGGTTGGGGTTTTGGTCTTGATTTGTATTTCCTTCTTGTGTGTATAATTCTATGTCTTCGGCCGACTCTCTAGGATTAACTCTGATGACCCCACCGGTGAATTGCTGCCAATTTGGGATTCGTTTAGTGACGGTTACATGGAATATTTGTACTATTTTTTTAGCTGCGTTGAACGAGTCTAAGTTTAAAAAAATTATTTGGTAATCTTTGTTTGCCTTTTTGATGTTATTGTACTTGATTTTTTCTCGTTTAAACCAAATAATCTTCTGACTCATGAAAGAATTATTCAATATTAATTATTCAGTGTTTTGGTATTTGTATATTGTAAGACATGTCCACTGTTCCCCGGCTTTTTTTCCGATTCTGACAAAGTCCGGGGAGCGTCCTTGTACGGTGTGAGACCATTTTGTATTAGAGAATTAATGGCCCGACTATTTCATTCTCTTGTGATCTAACGACTCTCTCAAACCATGTATCTACATTCAGATATTTCTCATATATTTATGGTCATTTTTGCTTCATCAATTCATTGTACATAGCTTGTTGTGAATCTTTCATGATACCGTTGGATAGCTTTCGTTCAGCGGTTTAAATTTTGGCACGTAGATCTCCAGTATAGATATAGTAGTTAGTTTGCTATTCGTGTTTTCCCCTTGTTTAGAAACCCACGTTGGCTAGGCGCCCCAGTCAGTTATTTTCCCCGGCGGTCCAGGAGAGGTTGTCTCCTCCGACGTCCGGGCGCTGCATATTTAAAGTATTTCTAGATATCGTGTCTTCACCCTCCAGACTTCGTTAATCGTTCACGATTGTCTAACTGGAGTGATCAGGTTTCGTCATTGACTGGGTTCGGGGTTATGTCGATCTAGATTCTGACTTAGTCAGGTGGTACTGTACTATACCTAGTAACTGGTGTTTCCAATTCTCCGTTTTTCTAGTAATCCGTGGATAACCAGCCTTCCCGTGATTAACTATTTGGAAACTTTAATATTTCCTTGTTCAGTCAAAGTGACAGAATCTTTTCAAAGTCCGTGTCTTGTCAAAGTCATGTTTCAGCACGGGTGGCTCAGTCGTCTAAGGCGCCGCAATTCGCTGTGCAGAGTTGCGTCCCTTGGGCACGCCAGAAACCTATGATCGTGGGTTCGAATCCCGGTTCGCCCCGATTATGTTTCTAAGTTTGTCAGCACCATACCCGTGCTCGTGGGTTTCACCGAAGTGGTAAACGTCTGAGACCTGTATCCCATCGGGCTTTCCTCCCACATTAAGCTGACACGCCACGATATAACTGTAATACTGTTAAAAGCGACGTTAAACCCAACTCACTCACTCCTCTCCTATATATAGCTGTAATACAGTTATGTTGCTATACTGCTTGTATATTTGCGCTCAGAATTAATTTGCGCAGACTGGGGGTTATCTTATCTTTTATTGTCAATAGGCAGTTATTTAATAAACCTGTGAACCTATTACCACGTTTTCTTTGTCACTTTATTCTTATTTTTTGACACCCTGATCATTGGAGCAGAACTCCGTGACAGTACACACGATGTTAAGAAACCCTAACATTTTTAGTCAAGGACATTGATTTATTTCGTTGGTTTAATTGTATTGTATTTGTTTGTAGTTTAATCAAATAAAGTTTGAACGTATTAATTATGTACGGTCCAAAATATCTGAATATCTACATATATATGCACATATATTATCATGATGTATAATGATATAAATAGAGAATCTCACCCACGTGTCTTTTGATATCAGATATATCAACGAGTGTTGATATATGTGATATCAAAAGACACGACTGTGAGATTTTATTTATCATCCAACATCATTCTTCCAACTTTTTCAGTTTGCAGACAGTAATAAGCAGTGTCAACCAATCGATGTTTCCTCTGGGAGCCAATTTTGGATGATAAATGCAACCATAGGTAAAATACACGAAGATAATACTTTTAGAATTTTTATTTCTTACAAATAAATATAATTTAAATCTTGAAGTTGTTTATAACATTTCTCAGTAGTCTTTCTTGGAAAATGTTTTTTAAAAGTCACTATGATGGAATTCATAAAGAAATATAGAAAATATTAATGTCGCTACATTTGTAGTTTCAGGGCAAATTTAATTCTTGTTAGGGACCGCCATTTTGATACCCGATAGTCCCTGGGTGTACCGATACCGTTTTTATGCGTTGCTGTATTCTGTCGAGAAAACTACCAATTATAATTAACAGTTAGATGCCAATTATTTAAAACAACGCGGGAATGCGAGAACGCGAGAACGCAACACTTGACCAATGTCGCGATCTCGCGGTTTTCTGTTCATTGCCTGTACTGTTAAATGTAAATATATAAAAAACGCGAGATCGGGACACTTGACCAATGTTCTCGCATTCCCGCCCTTTTTCACTACATCTGGAGCCGGAAGCGAGACTGGCTCAGTCGTGTGGGTGGTGTAGAGTTACGTCCCTTAGGCGCGCCAGAAACCTATGATGGTTGCCTCTAACATCACTGAGTGAGTGAGTCAGTGTAGTGTTACGCCATTTTGTGCAATATTCCAGCAAATATCACGGAGGGGGACACCAGAAATGGGAAAAGGAACCCAGGTATCCGGCTTGACGAGCGAACGCTTTAAACATTAGGCCACCCAAACCACCCACCTCCACATCGAGGTGACGAGACGAAATATAACTAAAATATTGTTCAAAGCCGTCTGAAACAAAACACACTCATTTATTCAGAGCCGTGCACGTGCCCCATGCTGTGAATTGGGTACATTTTCAGTATAAGCATGTGCCAAGGACTCAATAATTTAATAATTGAGTTTCAGGCGGAAGGCATTATATTTATTAATATTTAAAGCATACATCTGTGTACAGTTACTGTCGAAGGATGCGATTCACATCCAACATAACATCTGGAAAGATCTGGGATAGAACAGGTCTCCAGCAACCCATGCTTGTCATGATGGGCGACTATGCTTATGGTAAGAGCGGGATCGGGTGGTCAGGCTCACTGACTTTGTTGATGCATGTTATCGTATCCCAACTGCGTGAATCGATGCTCACGATGTAAATCACCGGAATGTCTGGCCCAGGCTGGATTATTTACACATCGAGGTCATACAGCTGCTATATTGCTGAGTGCGGCGTTAAACAACAAACAAACAAACGGGTTGTTTTTTTCATCTCGCCATCAAAATGAGTCCAGTAGCACGAACCGACGTGTAGTTGATGTCATTGGAAAAGTGCTAATGTTTGATCGTTTCGTAAATAAACATTCCTTTTGAAACCCTTTGCAGTAACTAAAACTCTTGAAATATTGTATTACCATCGACGGGGGAACATTGGTTGTCAAAATATGCCCTTGTGCTGCCTAACTCTCTCACTGAACATTTTAAACTCTCGGGAGTTAAGCTTGCAGTACGCGTTGATCCATCCACCCACACTCCGCCGCCAGCGGCGCTCAGCTTGCTCAGGACCCACTTGCACAAAGCGATCTTAGCGCTACAACTATGTTAAAGCATGGGGGTTCCGATCATCTTAGCGCTAAGATCGCTTTGTGCAAGTGGGTCCGTCCAGGTGTGTGGCCTGTGCAGGTGCCACAATATCGGGAGTCATTGCTTAATAAACGACAACACAACTTCCGTAACATCGTTTATTACATTAACATTCAGTACTTTTTGTCACAACACTCAACACGGCGATAACGCCTCAGCTGTCCAGCAGTGCTCCGAGGGGCAGTCAGATACGACCTACAGTCATCAGCAAAAGCGACGCTCAACCCGTCAAACTCTTGTACATACGGCTGAATGAGTGGCTCTGCTGCCAGGGCTGATGCCACAGTGCCACCGTTGATGGGATACAGAAGCACGTTCTCCAACAGTTTTAAAATGACTTCGTCACAGCAAGGTGATATGTCAGCTCCTACTGGGCCCCCGAACGAGGATTGTACCGGTATGCTACCAATGAGTATTCCAACGTTGTCGGAGTCTAGTTTGTACACGCCGCAAGAGCCACCAGCTGGGCCCTTGTCAAGGATGTAGATGTCGCCTCTGCAGTCGACCATGATGGCGTCAGAGCCAGTTCCAGGATATCTTGAAAATAGAAATCATCTTGTGTTCATTTGTAATAATAATAATAATAATAATAATAATAATCTGATGATCCTCTTGTGAAGCTTGTTAAGACTCGTGGTTAAAACAAGGCATTCCATAGTTTTCTTAAACGAGCCAAGTATGTGGGACATAATCTCAATGTCAGTGTTGATTTTGTTGAAAGTTCTGTACTGCTAAACGGTACAGAAATGAGTGCCAACCAAGCGAAGTGCCATATCAAATCGGCACAGACCACAGTATCTAGTTCATGTGCAGTGTGTTGAGAAGAACAACCCTGAAAGGTGAAACAGAAGAATTTCTGTCACTTTCCACACGAAACTGTAAATATGAAATGTAGAATATGCAATGAATTTAATTAGACTGTCCAACACATTGTCAGTGGATGCCCAGCTTTGGCATCAGCACAGTATCTTAAGCATGATGGCTCGATCATTTTATTACAGTCTTCACCGTGCTTTTGGTTTTGACACAAAGGTCCATCGACCCAGAAAATGGAGAGGGCGTCATGGAAAATGATAAATACAAAATTCTTTGGAATAGGCCCGTAAACAGCTTCAGACCTATCCAGGCCAACAAAACCTGATCTTGTCCACTGTATTGCCCTGATATTTTTCCGAGACGGCAATTAAATGATGTCAATGATTCATAATATGTCTGTAAGATCTGTGTTTAGGTTGAAAACTCCACATCAGTTTAGTGTTTCTTAACAATTTGCACCCCCATCGTCCCCGTAGCTAATAAAGATGTGCCATTTTATTTTGGGATGTTCATATTTTTTTACAATGTAGCAAGTCTCATAGAATCAAAATTTAATCCATAGTTTATAAGGAGCAGCCATATGACGAAACTTTGGTTATATGAGAAATTATATGTAGTTGTATTTTGACTTAACCTACGACTGATTCTGTGTTCAAGGACTTGTATCAGAATCGTTCAGTATATCGTCAGGAAAACTTGCATGAATACAGTGTAATGGGGCATCTCCTGTGTTTCATCCCCTACTTCGGGACTTAATGGAGGACTCTCCACCCCACCCTACAAAAGGACCCGCCCCACTTCCATAGCCCCCAAACACCCCAAATTACCACATGGTAAGATCTTAAGATCTTCATTTTGGCAGCACAAGCATGCAAGTACAGGTTGTCAAACTCCAAAATGTTTGGCAAATCGTGTTTCCACACGACAAATACATGCTGTTCTCACTTAGTCCCCTCCCCCTCTATTCTCTCAAATGCCGACGCCATTTATATAGCAGACGTAAACATTCGTATGATACCTGTAGCAGTATCAGATTGGTTGTAAATGGCCAACAACATATGTTTGGAAACCATTCACACGTGAAATCTAGTTTGAAAACATTAAAATGTTGGCCAAAATATTTGTGAGAGCAGAGACCGATTTGTCAAACTCCACAAACTAGTCAATCGTTTTCGCAATGTTCCCACACCAACTTTTGTTTGTCAACATGTATTAAGTTTGTCGTGTGAGTGAGTGAGTTGGGTTTAACGCCGCTTTTAATAGTCTTCCAGTTATATCACGGCGTGTCAGCTTAATGTGGGAGGAAAGCCCCAAGTGATGCATGTCTCGGACGTTGACCACTTCGGTGAAACCCACGAGCACGGGTATGGTGCTGACAAACCTAGAAACATTATCGGGGCGAACCCACAATAATAGGGAATCGGGGCGGCTTAGACGACTGGCAACCCGTGCCCCCTTTTGTTTTGCGAATCCACCCTATAAGAACGCTGCCATACATACGTGTATTGGATGAAGTTGTCGGGGCCGAGTGTTATGATCGTCGTAGAGAACGGGTCAGCTGGTTCAGGGATGGCATAGATGAAGTTTGCAGGTCCGCCATTATTGCTTCCACCGTCTTGGACATAGATACAGTTAATATTTCCCAGGACTATTGGGCATTTCCCAGTCGATATACCCTGTCTGTCTGTGAAGGCCAATCCAAAGTCTACCTCACCAACCTCCTGGAACTGGAACTCCTGCATGATGATGATCTTGCTATTCCCAGAACGAATCACGTAGATAAAGCCTGCATGGTCTCTGCTCGCTGCGATACCGTCGACCCCCTCATTGATACCAATAGCTTGTCCATAGTTAAACCTAGCATCTGGTGGATTAAAAGAGTGAGTCATGAAACACGCGATCACGGGTACAGTGCTGACACATTTCCACACCACCAACAGATCCGCGAAGATCCGGGTAGAATAGGTTTTCAGCAACCCATGCTTGTCGTAAAAGGCGACTAACGGGATCGGGTGGTCACGCTCGCTGACTTGGTTGATGCATGTCATCGTATCCTATTTGCGTAGATGGATGCTCATGATGTCAATCACTGGATTGTCTGGTCCAGACTCGATTATTTGCAGACCGCCGTCATATAGCTGTAATATTGCTGAGTGCGGCGTTAAACATCAATCAATCAATCAATCAATCAATCACACACTAACAACTGTTGACTATATACTCACGGGGCCCTTTCCCACGGGCGCTGAACTGGAGGTCCGCAGGATCGCCTCCATTTACGATGTAGAAACCGGTCTCATTCACCTGCCACGTGATACCATTGTAGCCCTCTCTGGGAAATAGAGGCAGAATGCTGAGGTGCTCAGCCTCGATCTGACCATTTCGGAATGGGAAGTAGTATACCCTGTCACGTGTCTTCACCAGCAGCTCGCAACCGCTCGCAGACAGACTAGCGGCGCTCGGTCCCTTCGTGAAGGTGGTAGCGAGGTCTAATTTCTGAACACCCCGTGCCGTGGCAACTCCGCTTTTGATCTCAATACGGTACAGAATGGCTCCAAGCCCTCTGTTACCCCCAACAGCGTCGAAGAAGAAGATGTTGCCGTGGCCATCAACAAATATGGTTTCTGACGCACCCAACCCACCTCGTCTGTAGAAAAGAATTATGTAACATCTACAGATATCAACTTTTTACACAATTAAATCGGATGCAGTGGAACACAAATATTTGTTTAAACAGTTTCTGAAATTTCGATCATTTCGATTATTTACAGACCGCCGTCGTATAGCTGTAATATTGCTGAATGCGGCGATAAACAACATACCAACTATACAACAGCAACGCCACTACTACTAAACAACTACTACACGTAGTTGACTCACTATACTATCAATCACTGGATTGTCTGGTCCAGACTCGATTATTTACAGTCGGCCTTCATATAGCTGGAATATTGCTGAGTGCGGCGTTAAACAACAAACCAACTATACAACATCACCGCCACTACTACTACTACTAACCAACTACTACACGTAGTTGACTCACTAAACTATCAATCACTGGATTGTCTGGTCCAGACTCGATTATTTACAGACCACTGTCATATAGCTGGAATATTGCTGAGTGCGGCGTTAAACAACAAACAAATAAGCAAACAACTACTCACACGTCAGTGTAACTAATGATTTTATCAGCTGCATTGCTGACGTCAGTCCGAGGGTCAGATTGCTCCCTAACGACGTAGACGACCTTTGCTGGTGGCACCGAGTCTCCGGCGTCGTGCACATAGATGCAGTCGGAATCAATGTCGACGTCGAGAGGGCACTTTCCAACTGCAACGGCGGACCAGTCATCGTTTGTGGCGTCGTTGATGCCAATACTTCCTGAGGTTTACAATACAGACTCATGTCAGTGATTGCCGTGGACAATGAGGCTTGTAATACAGATTCTTACAATTTTCTTTAGAATGCTCTTTGCTCGCTAACAAAGTTCTTCGCCCGTAGAGTACCTTAGAGAATTCTCTAATTTTTACACATAGAAGTAACTTTTAATTCTGAGAATGTGTATAACTGTGGACCCCGGGTTATTTATGATACGCGTAAATATAGCCTAGTTTAGAGACCAAAATAAATAGATTCTCTGCAGAAGATTTTCCGATCTAATAATACGGCAGTGTTTTAAACACGAACACTGAGAATATGCTTGTTACTTCTTTAAGGTAGGGCATGGATGGCCCAGTCGTCTGAAGCCCAGCATCAAACCAGTACCCGTGGGTTTCATCAAAGTTCTAAAATGCATCCTTTAAAAGGCCTAGCTGCATCCTTTCATATATCTCTCCCACATCAAGGCGACACGCCTTGATGTGACTTAAATACTGTTCAATGCGGCGTTAAACTAAACTCACTCACTCATTATTTACCATGCAATCTCAAACGGGAATATTGACGTACACTCCTGTCAGATTTGATTTATGTGGTTCCAACATCACACTGTCTGCAGTGCATAGCATTCAAAATGCAAAGCGTCAAGGTCCTATATGTCGCGACCTAGACAAGACACGGGCACTGGCATGGGCCGAAGCCATGCTTTAGGACCACAAGCATTGTTATGTTGAATTATGAAAATATATCTTGGTTACCCAAAAGACAATACAATATATAATCATATAACGTCAGTGCCAGAGAATATACCAGTCTCGATATTCCGTCGAAACAGATTTCATTGACCGTAAAATGCAAAATAGCAGTTAACAGCAGGTGTTCGTGAAGAACACTAAAATATACAAATATTTCTTATGCAAAGAATGTTTCAGATGCTTTGTGTCCACAAGGACCTACCGACAATTTGACCAGTCGATGCATCAATGGCGAAGATATTTGTGCCCCCGACACTAACATCATTGACGAAGTAGAGGATTCCTGGGTGTTTCCTGCTGGAAGCCAGGCCAGACGGGGCGATATTGTTCACCCCGCTATCAACGGCAGCGATCGTGACGGGTGCTAAGAAGTCCAACTGTCCTGTAACAGAAGATTGAGTCAAAATGTCAGGTGACATCGGCAATACTGCAGCCGTATTGTGGCGAGACTAATAATATAGATGAACCCGTCTGTAATTGGGAGTAACACATCCGCAATGCATCAAATATTAAAGATTCAAAAAGTACAAAGTTAAAACACTAAAAATCATTTGGATATAGACAACATTAAACTAGTAAGGTACGGGCTATAAAATACCACCAGCCAATGCTAGCCCGCCCTACTGGAATCCAGGAGACACAGTATTCTAAACATGTACATATTTAGAATCGCTTGATGGCCCAGGGTGCGGATCGAAAAAGAAATCCCAAACTGTCCGAAAAACTACTTTAAAATAATAAATATGCAACCGACTCCTGAAAGGAAAAGAAATAGTCTGGTTTATCTCTCCACCCAACCCTAAAGCCACTATCCCCTACCCCCAACCACAACCCCGCCCCACCTTATCCCATCCACCATCAGAACGTGCGTGTTCTAACAGCCGACTAATGTGGAGATGGGTGGTCAGGCTAGGTTACAGAATGATCTGGAATGGCTGAACGTCAGCTCCTGGCTTTGATCTGGGTAATGCTGTGTTATCAAACTTGAACGGGTGCTTATATTATATATTATCAAAAATGGGTAGGTTTCTCGGCAGGATAAAGCCAACGGATAAGAACGATATCCGTTGGGGTCATATGCGGAAAGAGATGCAAATATCAAAGGTCAAGTAGGACTACTTTCACTGTTTATAAACAAACATGGCGTCGCCCTCGTCATTCGGCGATCGAGTCAGAATTAACCATCGGGAATCTGGATAAACTACAGGGATAATTGCTTTCATTATCAAAAGAACAGTCTAATATAATACTGAAAATCAGTGTCTAACTGTGACGTAGCTAAGGCAATTTATAAGTTTTGGCAACTTTGGAGATATAAATTTCGAAACAATTTTGCGAGGGCACGAGGCCTAGCCAAGCGAGATCAGTAGCCATATCTGTGCTTGTAGACCCCTGCGGCTTGAAACCTTCTCCACAAATTAAAATAGTTGGATTTGGCCGAAATAAGTCTGAATTGTTACCTTGTTTCGATTTGACGCTGTGTGTACATCTGACTACACTTCTTAACGTTATAACAGGACAGACCGACTGTCAACAACGTCTGGCCGTGACGTCTCATAGACTAGGGTAAGAGTAGCTTCCCTTTGACAAAGGGCAGTTACTATAGCGGACAGACCGATGGAATGCCGCGAAAGGCAATTAAAAACAACTGTTGTTTTGCGTATATGTTGCTTCGCCACTGTATAAGAAACAGATTTCAGTTGGAACTATATCGGCTACTGTCACTGTCCGACTGACACATCACCTACCCTGTGACGTAATAAATATTAATGCACGCATTCCAGGAAAAGTCGCAATGTTTCGGTAATGTTTGTGAGAGAGGGAAAGCGATTTTAAAGCACAGAATTAAAGAATGACATTATATGATAAAGAGGTTATCACGCTTGTGTGTTTGGGGATGGGAAATATCCTGTATTAGGAATAAACACTATGTATTTAGCTCGCCAAGGCTCGCTAAATACAATGTTTATTCCTAATGCAGGATATTTACCATCCCCAAACACACTCGCGTGATAACCTCTTTTTATCGCCCATTGGTATGAATGGTCCAAGTTGGATTTCTTTCCTAGCCAGACAGTGGGTATACTAGTGGTTAAAGTGCTCGATCGTCCTGCCATGTTCGATTCCTTAAAAGGGCACGCAAAGTGTGAAGCCCTCTTCTGATGTCCCCCGATGATGATTTCTGGATGATTGCTAAAAGGTCACTCCCTCATCTCACACAATCGTACCTACTACCTGACCTCAATACGTAGTCTAGAGCGGAGGTCGGTAGTCTAACGGTTAAAGCGTTCGCTCGTCATGCCGAAGAGTCGGGCTCGATTCCCAACATGGGTACAATGTAGGGGACGAGTCCATATTTACTACCCGGGTACCCACCCCCCTATTACCCGACCCTACCCGGGTACCCACTGTAGGTCTCAAGAGATACAAAATGTCCCATTCGGATATTTTGTTTACCGCAGCACTTGTAAAACGTATTTAGTTACATGTATTAAACGATCTGGTTATGCATACACTGAAGTTGACTTAAGTTATATCTGAATTCAACCATATGAAAAGTCAGAAGGAATGGTGCATAGTCAGAAAGAAATGCGAACATTAGTGACTTGTAGTGTGACAATAGAGTTGTAGATAATTTTTTTCATTAAACAATACATCATAAATAAATGGATATCTTTTAGCTGACAAGGCTGATTGTCAACTACTGGTTTCTCTGGACCAGACTGGAGTAATAACACCCCCTCATGATGTAGCTGTGTAACAATGACGAGCGAAATACACAATTCACTCATGTCGACAAGTTTATCCCAAGAATCAAGAACTGGGGTTTGCCTTCAATTTCAAGAATGAACTTTTTATCTACAGTAACTTTATTTATTCATGACCCCGGAGACGATGATTCCTCGATACAGAAGATACGTTAGACTGATAAAATCTATTGTCAAATGACTGCAAGGCACTGCCTATTTATCAGCATGCCCCATTAGACACAAACTTCTCTGATGTTTTATGTATACACTGAGAACCCTTGATGTCCATGTGGTTACTGCGCAAATGTGTTCCGTTTGAAATAGTTACCACTCGATCTTTTACAGTGATTTCCCTGACTGTCCCTACTTTTTCTTTCGATGTGTGTGTACAAGCAATATGAGTGAGTGAGGGAGTGGGGTTTAACGCCGCTTTTCAGATATATCGCGGCATGTCAGCTTAATGTGGGAGGAAAGCCCAAAGTGATGCAGTCCCAGATGTTTACCACTTCGGTGAAACCCACGCGCACGGGTATGGTGCTGACAAACCTAGAAACATAATCGGGGCGAACCGGGCTTCGATCCCAACAAATTATATGAAATATTTCAGTTTCACAATCAAAATTGGAGCTGTACGTAATCGTTATTTGTTGTTTAACGCCGCACTCAGCAAAATGCCAACTATATGACGGTTGTCTGTAATCCACCGAGTTTGGACCAGACAATCCAGTGATTGACATCATGAGCACCGATCTACACAAGTGCATTACGATGACATGACATGACATTACTATGCTATATTACCATGATTACTGTGCTAACACATTCAACATGTTTTGTTTGTTTATTGTTTAATGCCACACTCAGCAGTGTTCCAGCTATATGCATCAACCAAGTCAGCGAGCCTGACCACCCGATCCCGTTAGTCGCCTAGCATGGGTTGCTGGAAAACTGCATGTTTTTCTTACCCATTATTTTCGTGCACGGGTGCTGTCTCGCTCGCATTGCATCAGGGAATACGTATGTACGGGGATTTGGGGGGACAAACATAATTTTGAATTAAAAGATTTTTTAAAAAGCTGTGAATTAAAAGTATCCATTTGTTGGGATGGGGGTGGGGGGAAGTGGGGGTGGGGGTGGGGGGAAGTGGGGGTGGGGGTGGCTCGGGTCAGATATGATCCCTTGTCGAAAGCTGGTTTATGAGGACAGGGGGCGTTGATGTAGCCTAGTGGTTAAAGCGCCCGCAGACGGGCCGAAGACCCGGGTTCGATTCCCAACATGGATACAATGTGTGAAGCCCATTTCTTGTGTCCTCTGCCGTGATATTGCTGGAATATTGGTAAAAGCGGCGTAAAACCATACTCCCTCACTATGAGGACAGGGTGGAACAGTGTATGGGCTGGCTGGTTGTGTCATGGCTCCCCGACGAAAAGGATCTTGCCTCATGAGTCCAACACTTAGACCGCCTTCATGGTCTAGTGGTAGAGCCTCTGTCCTGAGTGCGGAAGGCTGCGTAGGACCAAAATACTCAAAATACAGAACTTGTTGTTACCCTACCTGACGGTCAGCATTTGGGGGCTTAAACAAGGACTGGTCGGCTCGGAGTCAGTATACTGTGTCCCAGAAGGGCATTCGTGTTAAACTGTGACATGGTATCACAGTGGGCTAGTACTAACCGTCATTAACCCTCATGAGTCCGGACTAGCACGCACGCACGTACGCAGGCACGCACGCACACACACGCATGCACGTGCACACGCACATACACACAGACACACACACACACACACACACACACACTTCCCTTCGCACGTCGCTTGAAAACGACGTTAAACCCCATTTCACCTCACCGAGGAACAGGGGCGGTCGGGTAGCCTAGTGGTTAAAGCGTTCGCTCTTCACGCCGAAGACCCGGGTTCGATTCCCGACATGGGTACAATGTGTGAAGCCCATTTCAGGTGTCCCCCGCCGTGATATTGCTGGAATATTGCTAAAAGCGGCGTTAAACCAAACTCACTCACTCACTTACTCACCGAGGAACTGCTGGTCTGTCTGTCATTGCGACACGATTATTTACATGTTGTTGTGATTTAGTTACAACATCACTGACTGTGGCCTAATGCAGGTTCTAGAGTCCGACTCTTCTTAACTTTACGATACACTCATCTCCCGATAGAACTAACGGCAAGGAACACGCGGCATACTATTGCTGCATAGCACGTTGTATGCACCACTCTTGTAGGATAAGAATTCAGTACGTTGTGGCCAGCCCGTGAAGATCCGGGTTAGAAGCGGTCTTCAGCAACAGTAAGTGGTTGTCGTAAGAGGCAACTAACGGGATCGGGTGGTCAGGCTCGCTGACTTGATTGATGCATGTCATCGTATCTCAATGGCGTAGGTCGATGCTCATGACGTCAATCACTGGATTGCTCCGTCCAGACTCGATTATTTACAGACATAGAGCTGGAATACTACTGAGTGCAACAAACAAACAAACGTTGTAGCCGAATGTTCGCTACATCCGAATTCGTGATATCCGGAGTCAACTATATTATATCTGATACTCCTACCAGTGGAAGGACATCCTTTACTCTTCTGCTCCTTCGGGTAGTCGAACAGACGCATGTAGGTTGGCCATTCTGGAATAATAATAATAATAATTATAATAATAATAATAAAAAAAAATCTTATGTTCTGCACAGGCGTGACCCAACTATTTTTGTAAAGATGAAACCGACGATATTGTCTTGTAGTCTTGTAGCTATGTAGATCGCCCATCTCGCCGAAGAGCCAAGTACGATCCCTATATGAGTACAATGTGAAGCCCGTTCTCGGTGACCTCCGTCGAAGTGGCAGGAATATTGCTAAAAGCGGCATAAAACCATACAAACTCACTCAATCGATTAAACTACCTTAGTCTGTCGAAGAGGTCTTCACATAAATATGTATTGGGTTTGTCGGTGTATTGTCAGTGTATTGTCAGTTATTTTGGCAGTTAACAACTGCTGAAGATATTCAATAGCAAATGGAACTATTTTTAATAATTACAGACCTTCAACGGTTTATTAAACTTCCATATTGTCATCGTGTGTTTAATAATTGCAAACTACGCACCAGCGATGCAATAGTTACACTGGACAAATCTTAAGAAGCAAATTAATGTGCGGTGAAAAAAACCTCGGAAAAGTTTCTTCTTCTTTATAAACAGTTACGACACAATAAACGATTAGTTTCAGGAAAATAGTAAAACTATAAAACAAACAAGTAACTAAACTATGTAAAATACATCCACTCACCGCCATTAGTAAAAGCCAAACAGAAGGCAAGTATCCACAGTGACGCCATGTTCAGGACTGCTATGTCAATACACGACGCTTCACTGATAATGGCCTAATTTGCCTGTTATCTGTAACAGATATTCTCTTAGGCCACAAGAAATAGACAGCCTTGTTAGTATTCGCCATATCCTGAACTGTAGAGACAGATGTCCAACTGAACGAGATCTCATCACCTAGAATGACAGTAGCACCTTCAGTGTATTTGGGTGATAATTTAAACAATTTAGGTGATAACAGTAAAATTATTCACTTTCAAAATTGCAAGGGAGGACAACTCTTCTTCACAGAGGGGCGGTCGGGTAGCCAAGTGGTTAAAGCGTTCGCTCGTCACGCCGAAGACCCGGGTTCGATTCCCGACATGGGTACAATGTGTGAAGCCCATTTCAGGTGTCCCCCGCCGTGATATTGCTGGAATATTGCTAAAAGCGGCGTAAAATCGTACTCACTCACTCACTCTTCTTCACAGAGGTTCACAGAGTACATTTATATTAATATTGTCCGTGTTTTCTTGTTGTGGAATTTTGTGTTTCCTCGAAGAAATTACTCCGGCTACATTTTGCAGTTCTAGAAAGTCTTTCATTGCGCACATCGTTTGTCTGCCAACTCAAATGTTGTATACCGACCTAGCAGTTTATAATTATCCTAATTACTCTGACACCAGTCCCAGTTTCAAACAGGACACTCGTGAAGAGCGTCTAACCTGAGGCTTGAAATGGAATTAAGGGCAAATACACGAATGGCTTATTCTTACTCGTGAGGCATTTTATCACATGCTCGGTAGACATATGGTCCTCATCACATCTGAGAACATTTGAGCACTGCATTGTTATTTGATAAATTCCTATGATGCAGGAAATCTATTTATGTTTCTGGTTGACCTAAGTCTGACAAGTGCCTTACTTATCCTGGCCTTACTGATCTTGACAAATGCCTTATTGACCATAAAGCTTTGTACGAGAGAGGGTGGTTCTGTGTGTTGCTTCTTGTACTAGACCGGACTGATGCCGATTTTATAAAGTCAGCCCACTGAGATACCATGCCGCAGTTTAACATGAATACCCCACTGAGACACAGTATGCTGACTCCGAGCCGACCAGTCCTTGTTTTAGCCCCTTAATGCCGAGCGCCATACCGTTTGGGTGTGACGCGACAGGGGATCGAACCACAAACCTTCCGCTCTCCACTAGACCATGGAGACGATCTGTATTGGCCATGAACCCGTGCGTGTGTACGTCGATCATTAACCATGTGTGTGTTCTCAACAAACGGGGGCGGTCGGGTAGTCTAGTGGTTAAAGCGTTCGCTCGTCACGCCGAAGACCCGGGTTCGATTCCCGACATGGGTACAATGTGTGAAACCCATTTCTGGTGTCCCCCGCCGTCATATTGCTGGAATATTGCTAAAAGCGGCGTAAAACCATACTCACTCACTCACTCACTCTCTACAAACGTATATGTGCATCGTGTTTTGATGCATGTGTGCGGTCCAGGGTGTTTCAGTAGTTGTGAGCAGAGTCTCAAAAGTGTTTCACCAAAGTGGTAAAGACCAAAGACCTCCATCACGTGATCTTTTCCTACCAAATCAGGCTAAGGCTAAGATAACGTTCAAAATGGCGTTAAATCACACTCACTCACTGTATGTTGGATAAATCGCTAAACTTTAGAAATGTTTTCCTTCAGCCGTAGGGAGTTTACTTAGTTATACCTCAGTGGGTTAAAGTATTATATTGGTTGACTGGGTGGAAGGTGGTTATCATAAAATCAACATCCAATGTAACTGCAGGCGAAATCATTAGTTTGCCTTTAACGCATAATTTCATTCTGTACAAAAATAGTAACGTGTCCTGTTTTAATGCCAGGCAGTGCAAAAACACCTGATATAATATAAAACGTCGCAGCAGAGAGTATTTTATCCCAAAAAATAAATAATTCCTGACAATTCTTGAAACAAACAATTATGTTTCAGAAGTATGAAAAAAATAGATATTGCCTGCCCCCAAAAGTACATTGTTGCAAGATGTTCTCAAAAAGAATGCGGCTCTTATAAAAAAAATATTTTCTCTTTTTGTAGCTAGGGCTGAAAAAATATCTAATCTCGATATATACCATGCGGCAGTATGACCAGTCCTTGTTTCAGCCCCTCAATGCCGAGCGCGTCAGGGTACAAGTACCTCTACAATCCAATTTACTTGCTTCAACGAAAGTAAGGTCAAAATGTGTATAATCCGCATTTTATAGAAGCGTCTAAGGCCCGCAAATCATCCCTTAGGCGTGCCAGAAACCTCTGATCTATTTCCTGCATGACTTCAGATTTTCATCCTACATCCAGTTGAAATGTTGTTCAAAATTGCGTAAAATTTAAATCTGTGAGGATTGCCATGATCTATGGGTTCAAATCCCAGATTCCGTCCGTCTCTGATACTTGAATTTTGTAAAACCAGAATCCTTTTCCTTGTCTGCATGGCTTTGATCTTTCCTCCCCCACCAAGCGGATACTTCGTGATATAGCTAACACAGTTCAAAGTGGAGTTAAACCAAACTCACTCATTCATTGAACTAAGTGTAGCAAAAAACAGTCAATTAATAATTCACACAAAGGGATGAATCTTACATCGTTGGCTAAACTGGGCGCTTTGTGAAGCCCTGACTGAGTGATTGAGTGAGATGATGAGTGAGTATGCTATTACGCCGCTTTTACCAATATTCCAGTAATATCACGGCGGGAGACACCAGAAATGGGCTTCACACATTGTACCCATGTCGGGAATCGAACCCGGGTCTTCGGCGTGACGAGCGAACGCTTTAACCACTAGGCTACCTGACCGCCCCTCCTGAATGGGAGTACTGGTATTACTCAGTATCATACAACAGACCGATAACATAATTGTCAAACAAATATACGCAAATATCACGAATTCAGTGTGTACAGTTGCCTCCCTTAGAGGTGCCAGAATCCTATGGTCGCGGGTTTGAATACTCAAATCACCCTCACTATGCCTCTAGGCTTGTCAGCACCACGCTCATGCTCGTGGTTTCACCGACATTGTGTGGTCAAAGACATGCATAACATTTCGAAATGTCTGCATTGACGAAGAAAACCTCTTTCTCTCAAGTGAGCACGGGGTCAGTCGGCTAAGGCGCCGCGATTCGCCGTGCAGAGTTGTGTCCCTTGGGCACGCCAGAAATCTATGATTGTGGGTTCGAATCCCGGTTCGCCTCGATTAAGTTTCTAGATTTGTCAGCACCATACCCGTGCTCGTGGGTTTCACCGAAGTGGTAAACCTCTGAGACCTGCATCACTTGGGGCTTTCTTCCCACATAAAGCTGACACGCCGAGATATAACTGTAATACGGTTAAAAGCTGCGTCAAACCCAAATCACACACACTCTTTCTATCAACATGCTTTTAGTGAGACATTGAACTTCTTTTTGGGGGGTCCCGTATCACTTCGGGCTTTCCTCCTACATTAAGCTAACACGCCCTGATATCACCATCTTCCCGTGGCAAGCGAGTTAACTGACTGTAAAAGTGGAAAATGAACTTTTAGAGTCAGCAACCCATGCTTGCCGTAAAAGGCGACTTCTTGTCGTACGAGGCAGCTAACGGGATCGGGTGGTCAGGCTCGCTGACTTGGTTGATGCATGTCATCGATCCCAATTGCGTGGATCGATGCTCAAGATATTAATCACTGGATTGTCTGGTCCAGACTCGATTATTTACAGACCGCCGTCATGTAGCTGGAATATTGCTGAGTGCTACGTTAAACAACAAACTAACTAACCAACCTCGGTTGCAAAAAAAGGCACACGGCAGTAAACAACAAAATAGTAAATACTGGCCGCTGTGTGTATGCAAAAGGGCGTGAGAAACTTATTGGACCCTCCTGTTACAGAACTAATATGGCGTTGTGATAACGTTTCTGGTTAATTGTTCAACATGAACGTACTTGTTTCTGATCTTGCGTCAACAACTTCGATTCATCTGAATCGTAAAGGCCGTGAAACCAACCAGTCCGTACGTCTGGAATCCAGGACGGTATGTCCGTTCGATTCGTTTGTATCAAATATACTTTCACAGTATCGATTGAACTCCATTTGAAAAAAATAGTCTGTAACAATATGTTGATTAAAGTTCATGTTGCTCAAATACTATGTAACAAGGTATTGGTTGAAATCTTTTTTGTGTTTGTATCACATGAAACATAAATGAGTGTCTTTTATTCATAGATACAGTTGGTGAGTTGGGTTCAACACTGTAAATGAAACGCAAGAAGTAGATGTCTAATGTTTTAATTCTTTGCTAAAACCCAGCAGCATAAGAAAGGATCTGACATTTACGTTGTAAATTGTGGTACCTTTGGCCATTTCGCCACGAAAACTGGGTAGCTGCTGACCATACATCATTCAGATTAATAAAGATAAATGGTGTGATTTAATCATTCCTGGCTGACTGGAAGTACCACGTAGGTTCAACGTGTGAATCCCATTATTGGTGTCCACCGACGTGAAATACTCACAATACAAGAGTAATACTTGAAGGCCTGTGCATTCATTCTCCATTTACACGATCCTTAATAACCTACGCTTACCCTGTACACTACTGCTTTTAGCTACTTATATCTGTGGCGATTTTTCCCTGCTTCTCATGTGGAGATTAAAACCCGGGTCTTCGTCATGACGGGCGAACGCTTTATCCACTAGCTACCCCACCGCCCAATCAACGACTAGAATCTAGCTAGATGTGATACGTAGATTTACAAAGATGTCATAAATGTGACTGTAGCATGCAAACATTCAGAAAGTTGTGATAAATGTAGCTTACATGCATTAGTGCGCATCTGTTTTACAGTAGATGCCAAATAAATAATCTTTTGCGAAGAGGTTGGTGTGTACGGCTGTCTATGTGAAGGAATTACATACAGTTGTTATGGTCATATTGTTTTTCCCGCAATACATTTTAGACAACTACTTATTGACGACACGTCTTCTAAATGCACAGAGCTACTCGTGTTTTTCCGCGTTTCTGATCTAGTCTGTGGCCTTGGCTTACCCGAATATTCGCCAAATAATTGCTGTATACAAACATGCAAAGCATATATAAT